GTTTCTAAATACAAACTAGAGCTCCGAATGGCCTCTACTTGCCCTACTATATGAAGTCTGATCAAAAAGCCTGATGCAAGCAGCTTCTAACCCAACCTCTTGGGCCCTGAGTTCTAGGGATGGACATATAACATGAACGGAAGAAGCAGTAAGTGGAGTGCAAGAAAAGGAACAAAGAAAAGGGAGAAGAGAGACTGAGAAATGAAGAAGCAAAAGAAAAGGATTAAAGAGCAGAGCAGCCAGGCCACAGTCAGCGCTACTCAGGCCTGTTGTGGCTTTGTGAATCCCCTCCCCAAATCACTCAGAATTCAGGCTGCGAAGCAGTTGGATCACTCTTTTTTTGTGAACAAGAAAGAAATTCCAAACAACAGATTAAACGAGACAGTGGAGAGGGTCTGGAAACAAATCTAACTGTTCTGTAAGAGAGGCTGAAGGGAACTATATGAAATTGCCAGAAATGTCAGAGAGATATATAAGACTACAATACTGTTTCTTTCTTGGATAAAAAAAAAACTTCATTAATTTAACACATGATTCATTACATGTCTTATTAGAATATTCTGAATGGGCAAAAAGTCTGTCTAATATTTAAATAAAATATATTAAAGCTCATTCATAAAAGTTATTTATTTGTTTGTATCATTATAGCCTCCTTTCTCAAGCACATTTGAATGACTTGCTTCGCTTATATATTGCAAGCTAAAATGAAATGAATGAATCAAAATCTTACATTTATGCTTGTTACACCACAAAATGAGAAGAAAAATTAGTGAACATTCAGCATATTATTGTGGATGAACATTAATACACTTTTGCTAAAATATCTGTATGATTTATGTCCGTTTCATAATTTAAATTAGCCGCTTGATGCACAGCTACCATCTTCTCTTTATCCATATGCCAACGCAATTTAATTTCAGGCAGAACCAGAGGCGCACTTTCTAGCCTGCACATCCTCGGAAAAAACAGCCTCAGAGTTCAGGGGGAAGGATAACAGGTAGTTTTATATCTGAACCCAAGAATTTTCTTCCGTACTTTAAAGGAAGCTCAGTGTCAACTCTATTAAATTCTTCTCCTTAAAGACGAGTAAACAGTGTTGGCGAAGTCTATGTGCATTACAAACCAGAATATAAAAGGTGATGTGAATCACTCAGGTTGGTGATGACTGGCAATCAGTGGGGAGTTGGAGGTTTTATATTTGGTCACTGCAGGAAATACCTGCTTTTTGGTCTTACTCTTCATAAACGCGAGTGGTGAATTCAGAAGCAGCTGATGTATGAGTAGTCATTTTGTTAATACAGTCTTAGTACAGTACCAGTTTCTATCAAGTCAATTCCAACTCATTAAGGCCCCATGTGTGTCAGAGTAGAACTGTGCTTATAGGGTTTTCAATGGCTGATTTTTCAGAAGTAGATTGCCAGGCCTTTCTTCCAAGGTGCCTCTCGGTCAGCAGCTGAGTACATTAACAGTTTGTGCCACCCAGGTATTCCTGAGTAGTCATTTTGAATCAACCACTTATGTGGACTTCAACAGGGGAAGAAATCAGAGCATTTAATTCAGTTATGGCTAAGCTCTAGGCGAAAGGTCGGCAGTTTCAACCTACTGGCTGCTCCGTGGAAGAAAAGACCTGGCGATTTGCTCCTGTAAAGATTACAGCCTAGGAAACCCTATGGGGGCACTTCTATTCTGTCTTATCGGGTCACTGCGAGTCAGATCGACTAGACGGCACACAACACCAACAACAACACTGCTTTAACAGGGTACCTGGTAGTTTACAGCCATTAAGAAATGGGCTTGTGTATTAAAAGTTCTGAGTTTTTTTTGTTAGCAACAGACAAAACAACTATCAAAATCAGCTGCCAATTCCAAGACACACGCAGCAGGGTCTGGCTTTCCGGCCATCTGTGTAATCAATACGACGAAGGGATCGTCTGTGGAGGAGGCTGCTGGAGGTGGAGTCCTGCAGACCTAGATGAGACGATTGTTTTTATGCGGAAGGAAAGCATAGCTGCGACTTATGAGAAATAGGACATGAGTCACTTCTGGATTATCAAGGCTGTCAGGCCTACTTTGTTAAACAGAAATATCCTGAAACACACACCCCCCCTTAACCCTTCCATCTAACACCTTTTCGTTAGAACCATTAAGATGTGGCCAAACAGATGCACGCCTCTTTTCTGGTTGGAAGTTTGCTCATCGCCTTCCATGGAAAGGATGAACCTCAAATGGCTAGAAAGGGTAAATGAGAAAGAAAAATGATGGAATCAGAGACACTGGTTAATTGACAAACCAGAAAACTATCTGCTGAGTAACCAGGAGATGGCCGTATCTCTCCCAATGCTACGTTTCAAGTTTCTAATGCGTTCGAAGATGTGGGGCTCACCCACATGCAGAGTGAGCAGACGAAACGCTGCGGGGGCAGTGTGGTGAGACTTCGTCACACCTGGCGGAGTTTATGACCACTTGGATGCCTCCTAGAACTAGATGTGGGATGAGAGAGATTCTGAGAGAGGAAGTGAAGATATGTTTAATTTACACCAGAAACAAAGAAGCTATAGTTCTAGAGAAACAGGGGCACTCTACCAAGTTAGCAAAGGCCCTGTCAGCCAGCAATGTCAGTGAGAGGCCCTTTCAGAAAGTCTGCTGACCCCCTCATCTCACCCCGGTTCTTCTGCCTATTGGCAACACAAAGGCTAGACTGGGTGGTACTTCAGAACGTTATCATTCACGTGGGTTCCTTGGCTTTGGTTGGCTCTCCCTCTGGTCATATGGAAAGCCAGCTGGGCTGGACAACGCACTGGGAGAGTACACATTTTACAAAATTAAGGGCTGGGGTGGATGATAGCACTTATCTTTGTCCCTTTGTGACTCTAAGTTTACCCAGCTTGGTCTGTTCACTTCCACTACATCAAGCCAAGCCAGTCAAGCAAATCTCTTTGATTTTTGCCCTATTTTAGGTATTAAAACTTACCTTTCCTTTTTTTTTTGTTTTCTTTTCTGTAAGAGTTAACTTACCTTGGTCAGAAGGAAGAAACAGAATTTTAATACTAATGAGGCTAACGGTCAGAAAGCACCCCATGCTAAAAATGATAAAAATCCTCTTTCAGTTCTGCAAAAACTCAGAGTAACACAGACTCATTCCTACCAATCCTATGTTGTGAAAGGAAAGGATAAAGCATTGGGAATAAAGCCAAGTCCTCCATCTTTCCCTATAGCTCCTCAAAAGAAACAGAATCTGAATTTTAAGGAAAAAACAACACAAAAAAGTTAAAAAATTGATTTTTACTTCTAACCTCCGTTGTTCATCTCTTTGCCTGCCAACACCAACCAAATTAATTAAGATGTTGACTCAGTTTTATTTTTCTGAAACTCCTGTAGCAATTATAATCTTTATTATTAATCAGGCCTCCATACTGTCTGGTACTGTTCGATACTGTTTTATATTTTCTACTCCAACTAGGCTGTAAGTTTCCTGACAACAAGGACTATTCTTTGTAGCTCCACTGTTGCATTCAACAAACGCTGACCAGGGGATTGACAAAAAGTAGCAGAATTATAATCTAAAGTGTATTACTACTGAATTAAGAACAGAATAAGAAAAGCAGCAAAAGCAGTAATTTTAATGGGTCAGCTGCTGTTCTAAGCAACTTACACATACTAAATCATGATTCTTATCCCTGTTTTACTGATAAGGTCACTGAAGCACAGAGAAGTTAAGTAACTTGCCCAAGATTACACAGCTAGTAAATGGAAGAGCCAGTATTTAAGCCAGGAAGTCTGGCCACAGAGCCCGTGCTTTTAATGATTATGCTTGCACTGCTCCTCATGAAAAATCCTTCCAACCTACAGCTCCGACAGGGATCACAATAGAGGGTCCTGGAAAGAGCAGGAGAAAATATGTAGAACAAAATTCTAACTCACAAAAAAAGACCAGACTTAATGGTCTGACAGAGACTGGAGAAACCCCAAGAGTATGGCCCCCAGACACCCTTTTAGCTCAGTACTGAAGTCACTCCTGAAGTTCACCCTTCAGCCAACGATTAGACAGGCCTATAAAACAAACAATAATGCATGTAGTTCAGCCATGTATATGAGACTAATGGGCACACCAGCCCAGAAAGAAAAGATGAGAAGGCAGGAAGGGACAGGAAAACTGGACAAATAGAAATGCGGAAGCTGAGACTGAGAAGGGGACAGTGTTGACAAATCGAGGGGTTGGCAACCAATGTCACAAAACAATTTGTCTATTGATTGTTTAATGGGAAACAAATTTGTTCTGTAAACTTTCACCTACAGCACAATTAAAAAAAAAAAAAAGGAAATCCTTCCAAAATTCTTTTTTATTTAATATGAAAATTTGATGGGTTTCAAAGATATTTATAAGGTTGTCCAGCAAGAGACGTACATTCCACTTCAGGGCTACTAGCATCCCAGAAGGCTCCACATAATCTGGCCTTTGCCTACTGCCATTCTTATGGCCCCACCCTCCCAGAACTACCCTGTGCTGTAACCCAGTGTTTTATAAATGATGGGTGAAAACCCATTGGTGGGCTGCAGCCAGATTTTTTATAATAAATTAAATCAGACTGAGACTAATAGAAAATATCATAGTGTTCTCAATGTGGTAAGGATTAAGTATTGTCTCATAAATACTTTTGTTTTGTTTATATGCGTATGTTTGTACTAGGTCATTATATAAAGTATTTTCTACAAAAAAGTTAGAGAGCCTTCCAACTAGTCCTTATACCAAATCTTATACCAATCGCTCTGACATAGCAGGTGCTCCTTAAACATTTGTTAAATGAGTGAATCAATGAACACTTTTAGTTTAGTGTGTTTACAAAACTTATTGAAGTCATTTTGTAAGTCAAGGCTGCTGCTAGGCTACTTGTATGATTTTTCAGGACTGGGTGAAATAAGGACAACTGAGGATTCCTAACTATGTGCTAAGCTAAGCAAAACACATGCAAAAGCACGAAGATTAAAGACCAATGACTTACCCCTACGCCCAGGATACACATGAGGATAGTATTCATAATAAAGGTCTGGCTGATCTAGATTTCCAAAGGGTTCAAATTCCATCTCAGCATTCTGGAAAAGGCCCAACTTCACCAGTAGTGCCAGTCTCACAAACCAAAGCTGAAAACACAAAATATAACGGAAATGACAGGTTATTTTTACAAATATCAAATTCAGAAATTCCTATCTCCTATTAATTCGGTATCAGAGCTTGATGCCTCCTATATTTAATCAAGGGCCAAACTAACTTTCTTTCCTTGTACGTTTGCATAATTACATGTTTATAAACATACTCTTGAGCTTAATAATAATAATGTAAATGAGTTTATTTGATTCCATTTAATTCAACAAATATTTACTGAGCAAAATATGAGTACAAAGCACTATGCTAGGTATTATGAAGATAAAAAGATACAATCCCCTCCCCAAAGGAGCACAGAATTTGGTGGAAGGTAGGGGGCATGATGAAGGGAGGAGATAAGGACACAAAAATAAACAACTGGAGAGATAACAGGCTGGAGGAAGGGAAGGCAAGGAGATTCAGGAATGGATGGTAGATAAAGCAGTGTTGGAGGAAGGCACTGAAGAATAAACAAAATTTCAATAGACAGTGCCCAGAAGAGGCGAGGTGTGGGTCTTCCAGCTGCAGGAAACAGAACAAAGGCAGGAGAGTGGGAAGTATGCGATGTATGTGAGGACAGTAAGCTATCCAAGTGGCCAGGACACAGAAGACATTTAGAAAAATGGTGGAAATTAAAATTAGAGAGCTACAGAATCAGAGACTTAGAATTAAATGGTACCTTAGAAATGACCTAATTCAATCTTCTCACTTTACCAATGAAACAAATGAGGCCCAAAAGGAAGTGACTGCTCAAAGAGCACATCGTCAGCACTGTCATTAAAAGATTGGAATCAAACTGAACCTAACATCCTTTTCATTATAGCTTACTGTTTATGGTCATGTTGTAGAGGGTTATTTGTATATAAGATGAGAAGCTTAAATTGAATTTGGTGGGCAATGGGAAGCTATCGGTAGTTTTTGAATAGGAAAGTGAAATGATCAAAACTGTGCTTTAGGAAAATTACTTTGATGACAGTGTGTTGAATGAATGTGAATAGAGAGACTTGAAATAACTTCATGCAGGGGGCTAAAGCGATACTCCCATGAGGGCCTGGAGGTGGGGTAGTAAAGGATTTGAGTGTTATGGAAGGAAATCACCTATCACTTAGCAAACCAATGAATGGAGAGGTAAGGAAGAAGGAAGCATAGAGGTGCTTTTTCTGATCTTCCTCATCAATTCGTGGTGGGAAGAGAGATTAAAGACAAAGGAACATGCCTGAAATAAATAAATCATCAGGTCTCCCTAAAGTTCTCCCTCTCGAAAGCTCTTCGTTGTTTCGGAGTAACTGGTGATTTGCTTCATTCTGGGTGATTCCCTTATAAGTTAGAATAAAAGTTAAAAAACTCCCCATGGAAAGTAAACATTTAAGACTTTTTCAGCTGTTCTTTCTAGTTTCCTTTCTTTTACAACTCTCTTTTGTGCGTTTTTTTTTTTTTAAATTGAAGAGCAAGTGATTCTGTTATACCAGGGACAGCAAGCACATGGCATAAGTACCATCACTCCCCTATGGCAGACGTAACTGGCTGATCTGCCACTCTTTTCTAGTAGGCCTCGACATACCTCAGAATCTATCACAATCTAGCAGCAACTACCAATCCTAAGGGGTAAAATCCATCAGTCAACCTTATACCACGTGGTCTTTACTATGTAAATCAAGTACTGGGCACCCTGCGAATGAACCTTTGGGGTGTACAACATTTACTTCATAATATGGTAGTGTGAGAATCTCAATTCATATCAGTATAAAATGTACGATATAATTAGGAAAGTATGAACTACAGTAATCCCATAAGGAGACTAAATTCAGGACATGAAAATCCACTTTTTGTTCTAAAATTATTCTTATCGGCATGGAAGGCCACATCCCCTTCCATGTCCCAAAACTGTGACAAGCCAACTAAAAACACAGCAATCAGAAGGTATTCTACCTGCAATGAATCGGTTGTATGACTGGTAGGCAGCCCGCTCTTGCCATAGCCTTGACCATGGGCTGTAAGAAGGCGTCCACAAAGGTCAACTGCTGCCCTCCAGTTTTTGCTGTTCTGTAAGACACGATGGAATTAGTAATAAAAATAAAACAAAAAACCCTCTAAAACACACAGTTGTTTGCTTTGCTGGAAGCAGCTCCGTCTAGCCATTAGTACTAAAGGCAAGGTCAGTCAGTTGGCTGATACAAAGAAGGTCATTTGTCAATGTTGCATGTGTGATTAAGCAACAAGAGGAGACAAGCATGAGATACAGTTCAGGATGATCAAGTCACAAAAACATGAAAATTTACCAACAGATAGAACATAAGGAAGAGCCTTATCGGAAAGTCCCCCCGCCTCCCTGGGAAATCTGTACGCAAGATGGCTCTCCCTTTTTTGCAAGATAATTCTATCTTGTGATTTAGGCCTATTTAAAATCAATAATTTAATTTTATGCTGTGTGTTGGACATATTTATTTGTAAAGATGTGAATGCGACTATAACATAAGTGGCCTTATACGTTTAACATAATTCTGTTTTATCAGCGTGGAAAAAATCAATGAACTAAGCGAATGCAGCACGATCTAGGTCACTCTTTCAACACACAGCTTACTTTCAGATTATTTCATTTTAGAACCTGAACCACAGAAAGGCCAGCTTATACGGACATACTGGCTCATTAATTTGGACTCTCTTGTGTTTACTTTTGCCCTTATACAATAAAGAAAGGAGGGATATTAGGCAAATGAATGGGAAAATAGAAAATGAATGGGAAAACAGAATCAGAGAATGTTTTAAACTCTTTAAGAAGCTGAAAGTGGATGCTCAGTATGTTTTCTTGGGGAGGCTGCAAAACATCTGTTTATTCATTTTTAATATTTTATTGTGTTTTTGGTAAAAATTTACACAGGAAACTAGGTTCTCATTTAATAATTTCTATATTTCCGTACAGAAATGGGGGCGGGAGAAGCATGTCAGGAATAGATTATGTCAAGGTTGTATGTTAACAGTTATGCTAGATGCTGTAGTAATTAAATAGCACTATTTTTGAATATTTTAGCTGTACCCATTTATATAGTCAATTAACAAATATGTTTGAAATATTTCCTGCATGGTAAAGGCTTTGTGGGCATAGTTGTGAATGAAAGTTACATTCATGCACTCACTAAACTTATGATCTAGTAAGGAAGACAGACATTAAACAAGAGATTTTTTCAAAAAGTAATTAAATGACTTGGTGTGCCTGTAAAGTGCTTCTTGAATAAGAAGTACAGGGTGTCGTGAGAGTATGTAACTGGGCAGCCTAACTTCACCTCAGGTGGGAGTGATAATAAGAGAAGCTTCTTTAAGGTCATGATATTTAAATTGAGACCTGGATGGCAACTAGAAATAAGCCAGGTCAAGAAAGGGGGACAAGAACTGCATGAGTACTTGGTGGTGCCTCAAAGAACAGAGTGCGTTTGAGATACTGTATGGTGCAGCCTAAGCAGAGAGAGGAAGGGCGGTGACAGAGGAGAGTGAAAAGGCAGGCAGGGCCTCAGGGCCCACGTGAGAGATTCTGGACTTACCTCAAGGGTAATGGGAAACCACTGAAGGGTTTAAGCAAGGGAGTGATATGATCACATATAAACAATAAGTATTAGAGTCTGGTACACACCTATTTTATATACTAATTCACTCATGCACTGTTCTTTATTGGGAACCTTCTACATACCTGACAGAATCCTAAAAGGTGGGGGATACTGAAAACATGGGTCCTGTTATTGAGGAGCTTACAAGCAAAAAATTATTCTCAACTTTTCCCTAAAGCAGTCCTGAACTCCTTTTACCTGGGATTTCTCTGGACACAAGCTAATTCATGCCCCATAACTTGGGGAGAAACAGCTGCAGCTGAACAGAAACCACACGCAGTCAGGAGACCAGGGCTCACCGTGGCAGGAGCTGTGACTTGGGCATGCCACCTCAGCTTGCACAGGCTCAGTGTCACTGCAAATTTACAAAGCCAAGGCGATCTACCTCACCCGGATGACATGAAGATTAAATAATATAACGCATATGAAGGCACTTAGCATATTGCCCGCTATGAAGTAGACATTAAAAATGTTAATAGTGCAGGTAAAAATTTCTAAAATTGTTCTTACATAAATTCAGCCTGTTCTTCTACCTTGTCTTTTTTTTAATAATGCTGTCAGCAAGGACCAACACCTTCCACCTCTTTGTGGAAGTATCCTTCTTTTATCTCTTCTTTCTGTCTTGTGTGTGTATGCACGAGCACCTACACACTAGTGAAGCTGTATCATGTAAGGAAAGAGTACTTAGCACTTAGCAATATGCATTTAAGGATCCTCTAGATAATTTTGTGGCTTGATAGCTCATTTCTTTTTATCACTGAATAATATTCCATTGCATGGATGTACCATGGTTTGTCTATCCATTCACCTTTTGAAGCATATCTTGGTTGCATCCAGGTTTTGGTAATTATGAATAAGGCTGCTATAAACATCCGTGTGCAGGTTTTTCTGCGGACATAAGTTTTCAAATGATTTGAGTAAATACCTAGGAGCGCAACTGCTGGATCATATATGAGTTGGAATCGACTCAATGCCAACAGGTTTATGGTAAGACTATGTTTAACTTTGTAAGAAACTACCGAACTGTCTCCAAAGTGGCTGTACCATTTTGCATTCCCACCAGCAATGAATGAGAGTTCCTGTTGCTCCACATCCTCCCTAGCAGTTTTTTGGACTTAAGCCACTCTAATAGGTGTGTATCCTGAGCAAATAATCCAAGAAGATGAACTATATGAAGAATGGGGCATCAGGATTGGAGGAAGACTCATTAACAACCTGTGATATGCAGATGACACAACCCTGCTTGCTGAAAGTGAAGAGGACTTGAAGCACTTATTGATGAAGATCAAAGACTACAGGCTTCAGTATGGATTATACTTCAACATAAAGAAAACAAAAATCCTCACAGCTGGACCAATAAGCAACATCATGATAAACAGAGCAAAGACTGAAGTTGTCAAGGATTTAATTTTACTTGGATCCACAATCAATGCACATGGAAGCAGCAGTCAAGAAATCAAACGACTTACTGCACTGGGCAAATCTGCTTCAAAAGACCTCTTTAAAGTTGAAAAAGCAAAGATGTCACTTTGATGTTGAAGGTGTGCCTGACCCAAGCCATGGTATTTTCAATCATCTTATATGCATGCGAAAGCTGGGCAATGAGAAAGGAAGACCGAAGAAGAACTGATGCCTTTGAATTACAGTGTTGGCAAAGAATATTGAATATATCATGGACTGCCAGAAGAACCACCAAATCTGTCTTGGAAGAAATACAGCCAGAATGCTCCTTAGAAGTGAGGATGGCAAGACTTCGTCTTGCTTATTTTGGACATGTTATCAGAAGGGACCTATCCCTGGAGAAAGACATCATGCTTGGTAAAAAAGAGCGTCAGTGTAAAAGGGGAAGACCTTCAACGGGATGGACTGACATAGTGGCTGCAGCAATGGGCCCAAACATAGCAACAACTGTAAAGATGGCGTGGGCCTGGGCAATGTTTAATTCTGCTATACGTAAGTTCACTATGAGTCAGAACTGCCTCAATGGCACCTAACAACAGTGGTATCTCACTGTGGGATGGACTTTTTAATATTTTCTCTCATGTTTTTTCCTTAAACTTATACCTGCTACAGATTGACTGTGAGTGCAAGTCCACACAACACCAGCAAACAAGCTGCAAATATGAACAATTCATATATGACTTCTTCAATTATACCTTGCAGTTTTACGTGTGTGTTGGGGAGACTGGCATATATATAATATAGTCAGGCTTTCTGCTATTAAAACTGTTTCTAGATCACGCAATGGACTATATGTAGTGATAGTTGGTGGGATTCTTCAAAAACTGGTTCTCAGCCACGTGAACAAGTCCCAGAACCAATGGTTCACAATGAAGATGGAATTGGTGCCACTTTCCCCCAAACTGTCCAAATGACGACAAAATCAATTTCAAGTAATATTGGATTTCCATGTCCTGGTTGACAGCTTAGAAATATTTTGAGACTAGCTAATATAATTTACTAAAACCATCTTCAAATGCTTTCTCCAGTCTAAATTCAATGCCATACTCACTTTATATAATAAAAATGGCTATGTATATTCTCTTTGAATTGCAAATTTGAAAAAGTGAGAGGGAAAGATATTCTGCCAATTTCAAACCAGTTCTATATATGTATCTAGGCAGAACCTGTATCAAGGGGCAATTACTACTCTCTTCCCCAATTTGCTGTGCTAAACATTCTGGCTTCTCCTGCTTTGGCACTGGATCTAAACAGAGAGGTCAGGGAAGTCTTCCTTAGGGAAAGGACTCTTAACTGGAATCTGAAGGCTGAGGAAGAGTTAACCCAGTGAGCAGGGGAAGGAGAGTTCCCATGACAGAAAACAGCATGTGCAAAGCCTCAGTGTGAAAGGGAGCGTGGACAGGATAAGGAGCACTGAATGAAGACCAGTGTGGATACAATGAACACAGTGAAAATTAAGGTGGCACGAGGCTGGTGAAGCTGGGAAGGGATGGACTACACAGGCCTTTGTAAGCCTTCTAATAGCAACAGGAAGCAGGGTGACATGCTCATGACGACATTTTGAAAATATCACTCTACTTGCAATAATGGAGAATGAATTCAAGGGGGGACAGAGTAAATGTAAGTAAACCACTTAAAAGTATATTCCACTAGTTCAGGCCGGGGGTGGCAATCTGTGTGTGGCCTGTGGGCCATATCCGACCCACTGCCTGTTTTTGTAAATAACGTTTTAATGGAACACAGCTTTACACGTCTGTTTACATATTGTCTATGGCTGAATTTTGTACTACAATAGAGATGAGTAGTTATGGCAGAGTTGAATAGTTGTGACAGGGACTATATGGCCCATAAAGTCTAAATATTCACTATCTAAGCTTTTACAGAAAAAGACTGCCAACCCTTGATCTAGGCCATTGCCACTTAAAGGGAGTCTGTGGACTGATGTCAGTCCTCAAATGGTTTGTTACTGGTTCATGATGATAA